AAGTATCTGTTTAGAGAGGAATTGTTTCCTTTTTTCCCTTTTTTTCCTGCCTTTTTAAAGTCTAATTTCCAAGTCATGACATGTAAAGGATGTCTGAGCAAATCTAATCAGCCTTCTGCTTCCTTTAAGGGCAGCTGAGATAGATAGTTTTTAGCACCTCCATTTCTTCATTGCTGTAATCTGTTTTGATTAAAATTGCACAGGGTTCTCATTTGCATATTTATCGTTCTACATACCCACAAATCATCTCACTTTTCTGCCACTCCTGAATTTGCAAGAGAGACCGGAGTGGTACACTAGAATTTTAAACTATGCAAACATTAATTTAGTTTCTCACACCTGCTGTTTTTCAGTAAATGTGTCTTTGGGGAAGGAAAATATTCATACATTACCTTTACTTAATATTCCCCAGGAGTCAAGATTCCTGGTTTCTTTTTCAAGATAGATTGAAAGGTTCCTGTTAAGAAACAAATTTCTAATTAAATGGAAAGATCCTGAAGAAGTTCTGATGTTGGGAGTGGGTTGGGGAATGTCTAAACAAAAAAATAACCCCAACATTTTTTTTAGCTTTTGACAGCCAGACTCTGATGTGCTTTCAGATCCTCAGATGAAAGGGCTGCAGTGGAAATGAAAATTATTCCTTTCCTTTGTGCTATTGACAGTCCATCTTACTTCTACCACATATTATCAAGAGTGTTACTAGCTAGTAATCACGTTTTTAAGGAATGTATTTCTAGGAATGGTCTTTTTTTTCTATTTGGATAACATGTAACTTTACAATTAGTGTTTATACAAGACAAGGAAAATTTCTAATCCTGTATCTCTTTCTGTATCAGCTGGTACTGCATAGATGCTATGATTAGCTTCTCAATTCATAGCCTCTATTTTCTTAATAGGCCAAAGAAACTCTAAAGTGAATAGTAACATGCTCTGAGCCAGCCAAGACCAAGGAGTAGAGAGGAGACAGCAAGTTTGGCCTATGGCCGGGATGAAAAAATATGTATTATCTTCATATTCTTCTGACTTGAACTGGAACCCAACTCTCCTTGCAGAGATTCCAAACTTTGAACACCACGCCTGCCTCAGTGGCTGAGCCGTTTCCAAATGCCCTCTTCCCAGTGTCACATTGATACGGACAGCACATTTATCAGAGAGAGACTGACATCTCTATCCTGGGCACCTAGACCAACAATTTCGGATATATCACTCGTTAAGTTTATGTGCTCTACAGATCTTGCACGATTTAAAAACAAAACGCAACAAAGGTACACTTACGATGATAGCTGGTGTACCTAGTGTTAGCGATCCAAGGTTTCATCGCTCAGCCTGTACCTGCACAAGCTGCACTCAGGTGGGTAGGCTACCTAAGTGTTCTTGGAAGCAAAGATGTGCACAGCAGGCCTCAGATGACTCTGAGATACAGACTCTTGGATCTACTTTTTATCTGGTGCCGGTACGCAACTCATGACATGACAGGACATGACTGCAAAATTCAGTCCTGTAGGAAGTCATTCCTGATCAAGGAAACTTAAGATATGTGTGAGAGGCCACAGCACCTCTTGTAGTTATTTAGATTGTGGCTGTGCCCAAGGGAACAGGAGAGAAGTAAAAGATAACTCTTGCCCAATAAAGGTGGTGGCTCTGGGAAGATGCCAGTGATCAGACTGGGAGAGCACGAGCTCTAGACTTCATTGTTCTGCGTGACAAGCAGAATATTTTTCAGACCAACCATGTAATCATTGCCAAGATTTCTGAAGCAGTTGTGTTGTAGTCAGGATGGCAGGAAGACATGAGGGGCACAATTCATTAGGATGAGTAATATTCTGTGTTAGACAAACTGCTTGTAAAAAAGTGGACACATTCTTGGTCATACAAGCCTCTCAGCATATCTGAGAGATATGTTACAAACATCATCTGGCTCCTTTTATATGCATTGCAGCAAGGCCAAATTCATGATGGGAAGGGTCATCTTCTTTTGCAAACTCTTGCTGCAAGACATTTAGATGCCTGTAAATAATCCAGCAGCTAATGTCTGCAAAGAAAATAGAGAGAGGAAGTCTCCAAGAGGCAGGTTTAAAACACAATCTACATGAACCATTTGGAAGGGAAGAAGATGGGGGAAAAATGAAGGAACCACAGATCCTGACAGTTGCTGTGGCTTCCATTTCTCTCTAGAACAGCCTGCTCCTGGGTGGTCCGTTTTGGTCTGAGCTGTTGTTTACATATGTTTGAGGAATGGGAGTTGGAGAAAAGGATGTCATCTTTGTTCTTGCAGCCAAAAATATGGCTAATGTATAAATAATTGTATGAAGGTGTCTTGTTTTGTAGATCTCAGATCTAGGAGTGGAGCTCAGCTAATCATACTGGGTCCTTGGCAGATCAGATGAGAAACACCTGATCTGAACTAGCTCAGACACCACACTAGGTGTCAAAACACAGAGGTCACAGATCAGACACTGGGGAGTGCTTCTTCTAGACCACCAAAATGCTTCTTCTAGACCACCACAATGCTTCTTCAGAAACTTCAAAAGGATGTCAGCTAAGCTACATTAACTCTTCCTATATCATCTGTAGGCTGAGAGGTTTGGCTGACTCTAGTGCAATGAGTATCCATTAAAAGTAATGGTGTTCGTGTGGCTTTCATCAATAGTGAAGGTAATAGTCACAGTGGCTCTTGTTAGAAGCAGGTCTTTCATTTTCCAGGCATATTAAAAAAATCATAGTTTGTACTGTCATAACATAATACGTAAACTCATGTCAGTCAGCAGAAAAACTACAATGTTTTTTTGTTTGGGCAAGGCCCATATTCTTGTAGGTTGAGATTTGCAAAAGCCATGAGGAAATTGATGCTCGACTTTCACTAAAATTCAGTGAGAATTAGATGCAGAGCTGCTTCCAGTTTGTTCCATTTTCCGTTGATGATACATCTGTCAAGCAGCCTGTCACTTAAATAACTACTTGAGGATTAGGCACTCATTTTAGCCATATGACCTTGTCTCAGGGCAAAAAGTGTACAACACATGGAATTTCATTCCGTGGAAAGCAACTTGCAAACCCCAAGTGGGAGTGCTTGAGAGTAAAATCCCACTTCAAATACTGTCCTGAACATGTTTCATGAACTGGTGACCCAATGTAGGGGTTGACCTGAGTCACGAATGAGACCTGGACCATTTCTGTCTCTGTTATTCTTCACTAGGTACCTTGTGTTCTCTTCTGGTGCAGGCAAGTGTTACAGACATATTTGAACAAATGGGTAAAGTGTTAGAAATGGCTTAAAGCTGAATGCTTTTCCATGACAATAAAAAAGCAGGCACTGCTGCTTGTTTACTTACGATTTATTCCACGATAAAAAAGGGTGAAGTTCACTCTTTGTGAACTCAACGTTGTCTACAAAAAAATTAACTTCAGTGAAGTGTCTGATGTATTACTGTCATTCTTTCACAAAAGCAGCTGGGATAGCATGAGGAAAAAAAAAAGGTCTCTTCATTTCAAGGGAAGCAGAAGGGTTGAAGAAGCTAGTCTCCAATCTGACAAATGAATTATCATCAAAACTGTGGTGTTTAGAGAATAAATTACTGTTTCGTCCATTATTAGCATTTCACTAGCTTACAGTTAGTGAAAGCACCGTCACTGACCTAACTGTTTAACCAAGCTTTTCTAGGAGTAGAAAGAAAAACAAATGCTAAGATGACATTTATTAGGTGCACTTGTTTAGTCAGTCCATTAGCTGCTTTTCGTTCTCTACCTGCTGAAGGGTTGATTCTGCATGGAGTCAACAGATGTCTGTAAGCTTCCCTGGCTCATATCACTTGAAGGTACAAACTGAGGAGGAAGAGGAAATATTGAAGCTAATTGAAAAGACTGAGTTTCAGGAAGAGCTAGTATAGCCCAGCCAGGTGCTTGTAACCATAAGCGAGCTCTTGTATTATAGCTGATGAAAGATCAGACAGTGGGAAAAGTTGCCTAGTAAAGGTGTACTGGTTGCTAAAAAGACTTTTTTATACCTGTATTGATGTAAAGCTTTCTCCCTCTCTTAAAGGACTTAGATGATCAAAGAATTTCTTTTCCTTCTCTTCCTCTCTCTTTCCTGTGTGCCTGTGTATTTCTATTGCTGTTTCTTACAGTGTGTCTCCCTTATCGGTGTCTCATCTTCTGTTGTGTCTCACTACTTCTATGCTAAAATATTGCTAGCTATGATATGAGCACTGACACCAGAACCCTCAGCCCGCAGTGTTCTCCAGAGAGCTCTGTTTATTTCATGCTGTAGACAAATCATGACTATAGTGAGACTTACTATTGGGCTACAAGCCCTGGGATTCAGATTCCCAAGCAATTGGAGTAATTTAAAGCATATGGAAAAGGGCTGCAAGGAACTTACTAGTATTGATATACCTTTTGACAATGTTGTGAGTTTCTTACATGATCCAGCCCTCAGTAGCCTTCAAGCAGTGGACTTTTAATGTTAGTTGAATCATAGCAGAACATAAATTTATTTTACCTACCTCTGTCTGAAAGTAGCGTTTTCACTTGAGATGAGACTCAACAGGATTCTCTGCCCTGGTCTTGGGCCTGAGGCAGTTAAACCTTCCATACTCCACTATACTTGCTCTAAATTGGAAAGAATAGTAGCTTCCTTCAAGATTCATGTCTTGTGACATTTTGTTCACAAGTACACTGAGATCCTGGGAAACAAGGTAATGCACTGTTATTATATATAAGAGCAAGCTCAGCAACTTGGGTGCAGTGAGATCGTACACTGAGTAGCACCCCATCCTAGCTTTAAGGATGCCAGCACACGTTCAGTGTCACAGGCCTTTTGTTGGGTGATGTAGCTGCAGTTCATCCCTTACACTGCTCCTTCTCCTTTTAGGGAACAAGTGTGCCAGGAAAGGAAAGGATATCCAACTTGGTTTGAACTGGCTCTCCAATTTCTGCTCCAGACTACAAAGATCAAATATATATAAGACTTCATCAGCTTTGAAAAGGAACTGAACACCGCAATGGGACCCCCCACCCAGGTTTTGGCCTGTGCAATCTTAGCTTTGCTGTACCAGCATGTCAATGGTGGACTCATCAAAAGAATTATCCGGCAGAAGCGGGAGACTGGGCTAAACGTGACCTTGCCAGAGGATAATCAGCCTGTGGTTTTTAACCATATCTACAACATTAAGTTGCCTGTTGGCTCCCTTTGCTCTGTGGACCTGGAGACAGCGAGTGGTGATGCAGACCTGAAGGCGGAAATTGAGCCTGTCAAGAATTACGAGGAGCACACAGTGAATGAGGAGAACCAGATTGTCTTCACGCATCGTATTAACATTCCCCGCCGGGCTTGTGGCTGTGCAGCTGCCCCTGACATTAAGGATCTGCTGAGCAGACTAGAGGAGCTGGAGGGGCTGGTATCCTCCCTGCGGGAGCAGTGTGCCAGTGGGGCTGGATGCTGTCCTAATTCACAGGCAGTAGAAGGTAAGGCAGACTGGGGAGCTGCCCTTGGGGAAATTCTTGTGCTGGCTGTAGATCTTATTTAGTGTAGATACTCAAATTTGTTTCAAGAATGAGCAAAAGTCAACCTGTTCAATTTGAAACGTAATCAAAACTGGGGATGTATTAGGCCAGCTTGCAAGATACATTCGTTCACGGTTTTGCAGTTTTATGAATCTGTGGGTCAGAAGTCTGCCTGGGATGCTTTGTAGCCGTGGCATTGAACATGCACGGCACTTGGGCATGGTGACAATCTGTGTCGGAGTTAAGATTAAAACTCATGCAGTCCAAGCTCTTGGCTCCACATTTTGTCCCCTTGAGTAAGCTGCCAATGTAACCATTTTCATTTCCAAATTTTCTTTAAAAGAGACCAATAAAAATACAGCAGGACATAAGTCAACAGACAAGCACAAGTAGTTAGAGAAGGAGGAAAAAAAGGTATTATTCTGGCTGGTTTTTAAACTTAGGTAAGAGATTGGTCATACAGAGAGAAAACACAGGTCTTCCCAGTAATAATCTGTCCCTCCAAGCACACAGCCGGTCTCACAGTTGATGATACAGCATGCTGCTGGGCTTTTTATGTTCCAGAGTGAATTGGTGAATAATACTTCATGGTGCATGCCCTAATGAAGCAGTCAGGAAAGCTGCTCAGTCACTGGAAGAGGGATTTTGAGCAGGGCAGAGGAATCCAGTATGCTCATTTACCCAGTAATTGGCAGGGACTCTTCCCTGGCATTAGTGAGAATTAAAGCATTCCTGGTAAGCTAAATCTTGCTAGAGAAAGGAGGAATCCTCATTCAAAAGCTTTGTCAGTTCTGGAAATTATGTCCTTCAGGGAGATGGGAAAATCAGACCTCTTTTAGGTCATGTGTGCTACACTGGTTTAAAGCATCCCAGAGCCAAGGGGAGTAATGAGTTTTCCGGATTGTTGGTACAGGTCGCCTGGACACAACACCCTATTGCAGTGGACATGGCAACTACAGCATTGAAATCTGCGGCTGCGTTTGTGAGCCTGGCTGGAAAGGCCCCAACTGCTCTGAACCAGACTGCCCACGCAACTGCTTCAACCGAGGCCTCTGTGTCCAGGGCAAATGCATCTGCAATGAAGGCTTCACTGGTGAGGACTGCAGCCAGGCCACCTGCCCGTCTGACTGTAACGACCAAGGCAAGTGCGTGGATGGGGTTTGTGTGTGCTTTGAGGGTTACACAGGCACAGACTGCAGCGAAGAGGTCTGCTCCCAGGGATGCAGTGTGCACGGGAGCTGTGTGAGCGGGCAGTGTGTGTGCCACGAGGGCTTCACCGGCAAGGACTGCAGCGAGCCCCTCTGCCTCAACAACTGCCACAACCGTGGGCGCTGTGTGGACAATGAGTGCATCTGTGATGAGGGCTACACTGGCGAAGACTGCAGTGAGCTCATCTGCCCCAATGACTGCTTCGACCGTGGGCGCTGCGTCAATGGGACCTGCTTCTGCGAGGAAGGCTTCACTGGGGAGGACTGCGGGGAGCTGACCTGCCCTAACAACTGCAATGGCAATGGGCGCTGCGAGAATGGGCTGTGCATCTGCTTTGTGGACTTTATAGGGGATGACTGCAGTGAGAAGAGGTGCCCAAAGGACTGCCACAGCCGTGGGCGCTGCGTGGGAGGGCACTGCATCTGCCATGAGGGGTACCAGGGTGAGGACTGTGGGGAGCTGCGGTGCCCCAACGACTGTCACAACCGTGGACGCTGTGTCAATGGGCAGTGCGTGTGCCACGAAGGATTCATTGGGGAGGACTGCGGGGAGCTGCGGTGCCCCGGTGACTGCAACAACCGCGGGCGCTGTGTCAATGGGCAATGTGTGTGCCACCAAGGATTCATCGGGGATGACTGTGGCGATCTGCGGTGCCCCAATGATTGCAACAACCATGGACTCTGTGTCAATGGACAGTGTGTGTGTGAGGAGGGGTACACAGGGGAGGACTGTGGGGAGCTGCGGTGCCCTGAAGACTGCCACAATCGTGGGCGCTGTGTGGAGGGGCGCTGTGAGTGTGACAATGGGTTCACGGGGGAGGACTGCAGTGAACTGTCCTGCCCCAACGACTGCCACCGACGTGGGCGCTGCATCAACGGGCGCTGTGTATGCCATGAGGGCTTCATAGGGGAGGACTGCCGTGAACGGTCCTGCCCCAACGACTGCAACAATGCAGGCCGCTGTATCGACGGACAGTGTGTCTGTGAAGATGGTTACATGGGGGATGACTGCTCCGATGGTAGGTTGCAATGTCCTTTTTGAACCACTTCCCCTGGGTAATTCCCTGTGTCCATCCAGCAGCCTTGGAGGCTCTCTGAATCTTTTCCATTAGTTGGTCCCTGTTGCCACTCCTTTTTATCGTAGTCTAAACAGATGAATCAGAGAAGTAACAGCATCAGTAGGAAGCTCCTAGTTTCCCTTACTTTTCAGGGCTATATGGTATAGCTGGTGACTCTTGGTGGTCAGCAAGCCAACAGGCTGATAATGATCATGCAGTCCATCTGTTATCTCCAAGTTTGCTCCCACCACAATGTCACTGGAGCTGTAGCTAGCACTGACTGGGATTTGCCACCATGATCTTTCAGTTTCTCATGGTACCTCTTGATGCTAAAAAAAAACCCCACATCTGAAAGAAACTGTTCTAGCTATGGAGAAGGGAAAGATATACCCAGAGTCTTCTTACTAGGTGGTCAGCAGGATTAGTCAAAAGAATATGGACTGAATTTTGACTAAAGAAAAAGGCTTTGCAGGAATGAGATAATGTAGATAATGAATGTCAGTGAATAAAGGTCCTGGGTATCAAACATTTCTTACAGCCAGGTTCTGATTCCCAGTCTCATGCTGGATGAGTAAGAAAGGGGTTTACATTTGTAATGCCACCACTACTGAGGAGTTGAAAATGAAACACACAGCACTGACAATATACACTGGCAAGACCCCAAGGGCTCAGCCATTTTGCTTTGAAGGCAGACCTCTGAACTGGAGCCCTGGTGGAGACAGAGGGTGTAGTGGAGGCAAGGCACACACAGAAAATAATGTTGTCCTATCTGAGTGATCTCTGAGACAACTGTCACAATGGGATTGCCAAATATTGCTGTGCAAACTTTCAGGATTATTACAGGGGCCTTGACTATCTCTCAGTTGGCCAAACAGATTTTTCTAACTAAAGTAAAACTTGATTTTATATATATGTGTGTGTGTGTATGTGTATATGTATGTGTGTATATATATGTGTGTGTGCGTATGTTAGAACTGACAAAAGCTTAGAATAAAATCATGGAATCAGCTGGAGTGGAAACTTAGCTATAAAGCCACATGCTTAGTTTCCCAGTACTACTGACTGTATGGAAATTGATAGAAATTTTTGGCAGCTAGATAATGACAGGCATTATACTATAAACGAGGTGGTTTTCTTTAGTAGATCCCAGGGGACAAATTTTGGAACTAAGATCTTTGTGATCTTTGTAGAGTAATCAAAGAGTACTTTGGGGTTGGGAACATTATAAAAGACAATGAATACCCTTGAAAAGAAATTCCCATTTTTCATCTCCTCCTTCTGGAAGACTCCTAAGCCCCATTCTCTGCTCTTGCATGTGTAAATGTGGAGTAATCCACTGAAAGTACTTACAAAAATAATTTTTTATTTTACTTTGGAAAATCTGTGCAAACCCCAGGACTTCCAGCTATAAAATCATGTCTTGCTGTCTGTTGAATTAAATGTCTGAATCCCTAGGGATCCAGCTATAGCAGTCTTGTGCTGTAGCCATGAGAGGAGGAACTGGAATACAATCAGCCATAGGTTGTGTGCAAGTGTGAGAGTACAAATTGGCCTGTAACTTTTGGAAATGTCTGTAGTCTTCATCAGCTGAACATTCCTTTCTTCAAGCGGCTAATTCATGTGACGTGACTTCCCCATTCCCTGTTTGTTAGATGATTCTTATAAATTGCTCCTGGGAAAATGCAAAACTGGGTAAATCATTATTTTCTGAGCCTTGAAAACGTCTTATAAGTTTGTTTTGTTTTTTCCCCTTCCTAGTGTCTCCTCCAACAGAGCTGACTGTCACAAATGTAACAGATAAAACCGTAAATCTGGAATGGAGGCATGAGAATCTCGTCAATGAGTACCTCATCACCTACGTCCCTACCAGCAGTGGTGGCTTAGATATGCAGTTCACTGTGCCAGGAAATCAGACAGCTGCCACCATTCATGAACTGGAGCCAGGTGTAGAATACTTTATCCGTGTCTTTGCAATCCTTAAAAACAAGAAGAGCATTCCAGTCAGTGCCAGGGTAGCAACATGTGAGTTTAATATTCCCTGTATTCAATCTTTTGTCTGCTCTGTAGTATTTACTTATTTATTTGGGGGTATTATTTCTTCTGTATTTTCTATTTTCAATTCATCTTATGTTCTGGACAAAAACACCCTTCTGCACTTTCATTTTCTATTCTTTTCTAATACCAATGGCTGTGTTAAAAGTACAGTTCACTAGCTTTTCTGCTCTCTGCAGTGCCTCCCACTAGACATTGTGGGGTCTTTGTAAATTAAGACCTGTGGCTTCTTCATAATAAGGTACATTTCTAAAATCTGGTAATGCTTCCTGGAAAAAATATAAAAATGTAGCAGCATGTAAAAGAGCAATATGAAATCACTTGGATTCAAACTGTGTTGACTAAAATGGAGGTTATATTAATCTTGTATCTTCAGTGTGTTTTACCACAACTTACTTTCTGTCTGCCTGTCTGTTCATTTGTTGTTCATCTGCCTTTTTGTGTTGGGCATACCACTGGCATATCTAAACCTCCCAGCCTCAAAAGATGCTCTTTGACTTCTGTCACTGTGCTCACTTTTAGAGACCTAGGGCGGGATTCATCTCACAACTTCAAAAGTCCACACTAGGCTTCTTT